CCCCAAAACCCCAAAACCCCAAAACCCCAAAACCCCAAAACCCCATTGTCAGCAAATTCAGTAGAGATCCGGTATTACTAGTATGTTAATTAAGAATAATTTTAATATCTATATAATAAAATAATGAAATCTTTGGCTAGAAAGACCTTAGTAAGCACTGGTTCAAGATCCTTCGCTTCAACTGTCACACTTAACATTCCTGAATTTGAGCTTCACAGATTAGATAAGTCACAGATGCCCAAGTAAGCCACCACTAACAAGGATGAGCTTATGTCCTACTTCAAAAGAATGTCAGTGATGAGAAGAACTGAGATAGTGGCTGATAATCTCTATAAGTCAAAGATGATCAGAGGTTTCTGCCACTTATACGACGGTCAAGAAGCCATTGCTGAAGGTATGGAAGCCGCACTTACCTATGAGGATGCCATAATCACTGCTTACAGAGATCACTGCCAAGCAATATGTAGAGGAGACACTCCATACAGAGTTCTTGCTGAGATGGTTTAAAAGAGAACCGGATCATCAGCTGGAAAGGGAGGCTCCATGCATTATTACAACTCAAAGAACAATTTCTATGGAGGTAATGGAATTGTTGGTGCTCAACTTCCAGTCGGAACTGGTCTTGCTTTTGCTCTAAAGTATCAAGGAAAGCCAAACGTTGCTGTTTCAATGTATGGAGACGGTGCTGCCAACCAAGGTCAACTTTACGAGGCTGCTAATATGGCTGCTCTCTGGAAACTCCCAATGATTTACGTTTGCGAAAACAACCTTTATGGTATGGGAACATCAAATGAGAGAGCTTCACACAACACTAAGTTCTATACCAGAGGAGACCTAATCCCAGGTTTCAAAATTGACGGTTAAAACATCCTTGTAGTTAGAGAAGCAATGAGATGGGCTAAGGAATATTGCGTTAAAGGCAACGGTCCACTCTTCATTGAATTCATCACCTACAGATATCACGGTCACTCCATGAGTGATCCAGGTATCACCTATAGAACCAGAGAGGAAATCAACGAGGTCAGAGCCAAGAGAGACCCAATTGAGATCGTAAGAAAGCTTCTTCTTGAAAATAGCTGGGCTCAAGAGAGTGAGCTCAAGGACATTGAGAAGAAGATCAGGGCAGATATTGACGCTGATGTTGAGAAACTTAAATTAGACCCAGAGCCAAATGCTGAAGATCTCTACTCCCATGTTGGTATCGGAAAGCATTACATCAGAGGTGTTGAATACAAACTTAGTCAACTCGATTACTGAATAAATTTGCATTCGTGATAATAGTTACTAAGACTGACGTCAAAATTACCTCAAATAATTATTTAATTGCTCTTTCCTTAGATTGTCCACATCATAAAGATATGGGGTTTTGGGGTTTTGGGGG